ATGCTGTATCAAAAAATTTGTTCTGTCGTTTGCATAGAATCGATGTTTGCTCTTCACGAAATTGCACAGGAAACGTGAAAGCACAATAATTTAATAAACGGCCATGACCAGCCAGCACACTCCGCATAACATGTGAAAATTGATTTTTCTTTCGGTAAAATTAGTATGAACCCATGGTCAGCGATTAAAGAATCATAGTATTATAAGTGTAGTTAGTAACGGGTGCATGTTCACCAAAGGGTCACAGAATTCTTGTGTGACGCGCCGCCTTTTAAATGAAGACAATGGCAGGTTTCAAAAGTAGTCACACCTCAGAGAGGTGTTAAATTTGCCACAACCCAAGTGTTAACTAGCACACAATTCCATAATACATAGTATATAATAAAGAAATAAAGTGCATGTTGAGTGATAAGTCCGCATGTTTATGAGACGTCCCTCACACATGGAATGTATTTACAGGCAACCTGGATCAAATTTGAATTGAAACAAATTGAAACAAAGAAGCGTCTGCCATTGCTTGGTCAGGATAGAGAGACAATTTTCATGGGTGAATGCTAGTAGAAGACTTAGCCTCAATGCCCCAAATACTTCGACCTAACCACTTTATTTGTACAAGTAGAAAAAGTGTTATGTTTCTCTGGTTCCTTTCTCCGCATCAAGGACTTAGACCAACGCTACGGAAAGAGTGCGGTGGTTGGGGGGCCCCGGAGTCTATGGTGGGTATGAACAATGGATACGGTGTCTGTTAGGTGGTAGTTGTCGGAAATAGATATGGATTACTGATATTGTGTATCGTGTTATATTACTATACTGCTATATACATCGTTTATACCGTCTAAGCTTGAATGTAACAAAACGGATACGACCTTGAACACTGTGTTATGAGCGAACGTGAGAGGCAACACCACAATATTTTTATTGACCAATCACAGTATTGTATATTTGTATCTAAGTTTCCCCGCTTGAATTCAGAATCCCCACGAGGGTATATAAGCATTCATTGTAATTGTTTCAGAGCTCTTCTCTGTTATGTTCATGAATAAACAACTTGTGTTCTACTCTTGAAAGTACTTGTCTTGTCTGACTGCTGGTATTATAAAGAATATTACGTCCAAAAATACGACTTCCCACAGTAGTTGATAAAGACGTACTGCGTTCTCCAGAAGCCTGCCCTCTAAGTATGCTCGAGGGGGGCACCTGATTCTAGCACCAGTGAGTTGGCAATTGCACAGACCTCATACGCTCGTACTTGGTGTCTCTGCAAGCTCTGTGTCGAGGAAGTATTATAGACCTCTAATACAGTTGCAGTAAACCATCAGTCGGCAGGAGTGTTACGTACGTCAGGAGCTTGGCATTCCGGGGTGCGGTAAACCGGTCTAACCTTGGACCGTCCCACAGCTAAAACAGTCTGGTGGCTTATATAAGCCACCCCATGTTCTGGAGACGGAGCCACCCTGAAAGGGCGTCTGCCAGACTGTTCCCCAACCTTTGGAAGGTGGTGTGCGGTTAGCTCCACATTGTATTCCAAACACCAAAGGAGGATTTTGCTCCGCTAGGACTGACAGCGATGAGGAACGCATCCCCCTCCTTCTTGAAGGAGACCACCGCTGCGTTGCCTGTGCGAAGCAGGACTCTGTGGTCTCGAACTACGGGTAGAAAGCGTGGTAGTGCTAAGTATACTGCTTTCAGTTCGAGCCGGTTGATATGGTATTCCCGAAACTAATGCAGGGGCCATATCCTTGGACTTGTTTGTCCAGTAGATGCGCTCCCCAACCTTGGGAGGAGGCATCAGTTACCAGAGTCATACATGTACCTGTGGTGAGCGGGTCCAAGGGGGCCCCCTGTCCGAGGTTGGCCAGTGACGGCCACTAGGGCAGGGCTTCCTTCACTTGGTCCCAGATCAAAACCTGCCTATCTAGTTCCCATAGTTGAGCTCAGCGTTATAACAAGCGTTATACTGGGCGGCTGAGTAGAGCGGGCTAGGGAACGACCCTTCGAACTGAGGTCATCATTCCGATGATCCGCCTTAGTTCTCGGAGGGACACTTAGGAAACGCTGACTAGGCATTCGGCTAGGCTGCTTAGCGCTAAGTAACACACTTGCGATAGCTAAACCAAGCTTACCTCTGTGTCAAAACTCCATGCCCAGGGACACCAACTACACGTTGGGTCGAGGTGGGACTTGTCGATTTACTAACAAGCCCAACTCGTGAAGTAAATCCTGTGTTAGCCTGACGTGTTTGGCTATTAACCCCTTGTCCGGGTTGTGTAGTAACCAGTAGTCTGAGTACAAATTGAGGTGTACCGACATTTGGTGAAGCAGCAGCACTACCTGTTTCGTCACTCTAGTGAACATGTAGGGCGCTGTGCATAACCCGAACAAGGGGCACCCGAAATTTGAATACTTGGTCCAGCTGGGCGATTCAAAGGAGATGGCAACTCGCTGGGTGCATGGTATGTGCAGGTTGGCCCGCTTAAGTCTAGTGGGGCTAGCCAGTCGAAATGGTGGATGGAGAGAAGAACCCTGAATGGTGTCTCCATGTGGAACCGATCGAAGAGCATGTACTGATTCAGTCTGCCTAGGTCCAGAACTGGAAGCCTGCCACTTGTAGATTTGGTACTACGAACACATTTGGGTAGAAGCCTGGATTTAGTTATGGCTGATCTATCCTGTGTATGGCGCCTTTTCTCAGCAAACTGCTACTTCCTGTCTGATTGCTTCAGCCTTGCGGGAGTCCCCTGGCAGTGCCCAACAGGGGAGACACTGACGGGGGAGATGGAGATTTTAGCAGTATCCCGTAACCGGATGTCACCACCTGGAAAGGTCCAGGGATCGGTCACCTGCTGTCTCCAAACCGGACTACACCGGCGCAATCTATGTACGACAGGGATATGTGGCCATGGGTTCAGCAGTTGGGAGGGGGTGCTCTCTTCTCTCATGAGGTGAGCTCCCCAAGGCCTGAGGTAGTCACTAAGTTGTGACCTGGCCACTCGCCGAACAATTCCCCTAGTTGCAGAGGTGAGTGTCAGACACGCTTCCCCCGCTGCCAGGGAAGACGTCCGCCCAGGGAGGGTGAGGAGCCACCACCTGACTCTTTCCTCCCTGGGGCCACTACTCTTCCCTCCCATGGTAGGGTATGAGCACTTGCCTCCTGGCTGA